AGCGGGGAGGGGCAGCGGGGACAGGAGGGGGATTCGAACTTCGGGGGAGGAATGACATTAGGCAGCCCCGGCCAATGGGATTCGGAGGAAGGTTATAAATAGCGGGCTGGGGCAGATGCCAGCCCGTGGCAGTTTAGTTCGAAAGCAGGGGGCGGCACCGGTGGGTTTGGGCGAGGTCACGCCGCCTGCCAGTCTAAACTTCTGTAGGGTATTGCGTCCTTGGTTGGTATGTCTCGCTTTAAAGGCAAGACTTGTTTACGGGTGCAGGCGTCCTTTATTCGCCCTGTGATGTTGGCCAGTCCTTAAATGGTCTGTTTTAAAGAGTCTGGTAAGGACAGGCTCTCTTCGGACAGGTGGGGTTTGCGTGGCTACTTTTATTTAAAATGCTCCCCTCTTCTCCAGCGTGCCCCTGTAACTTGCAAACCTCGGCTGTTTTTTTTTTGTTTTGTTTTGTTTTTTTAATTGAATGGACTGTTTAGAATTACTTTCTCATCAGCAGGTGTGCCCAGGCTGCTTACCTTCGCTGATGGAATTAGTTTTCCACAAGGCTTCACAGCGTTTCATTTCCAAACGAAATTTCCTGAAACTACTTGAAGACTGTTCTATAGATACCCAGGCTTCAGTTTGCCTAGCCCTGGTTATTCACTCATTCCCTCAAATAGTGCTTGTTGATTTCTTCTTTATTGTGCAGTCACTGGGCCAGAGTAATACCAAAGTGAATAATAGCAGCAGTAGAGATATTGTATCCTTTTATTTCTTACCACAGCCCTATAAGGTAGGTGCTATTATTATTAATTACAGTTTAAAGATGAGGAAATTGGGTACAGAGAAGTTTAGTGACTGACTTGCCAACGTCACACAGTCCATATATTTGCAGAATGGGGGCTTCTCTCTCTCAGGTGCTTACCTTTAAGGACTTCAGTGTCTATTAGAGGAGATAGTTTCGCAAACAGGTTACGTTAAAGGGGACCATATAGCCTGGCTGGTGTAGCTCAGTGGATTGAGCATCGTCCCTTGGACTGAGAGGTCCCAGTTTGATTCCTGATCAGGGCCCATGCCCAGATTGTGGGCTTGATCCCTAGTAGGGGGTGTGCAGGAGGAGGCAGCCGATCGAAGTTTCTCTCTCACATCAGTGTTTCTCTCTCTCCCTTCCTCTCTCTCTTAAAAAAAAAATCAATAAAAAACATATTAAAAAAATAAAAAACATCATACAAAATATGAATGCCATACTACTCCCTGTTTTTTCAATTTTGAGTTGTAAATTTCCCCCTGTTGCTTGAAAGCCATAGAAGCATGTGGATAATAAAAGAGCAGAGATCTTTAAAGCCAAGATAGGGGGAAATGTGACAATTATGATGGAATACTACCTCTGGTAACAAGTACCAGCCTGTGATAATGTGGTTCACATATTTATTTATTACCATTTTCCAAATAGGTAGAGCAGATCTTCCAGACTCCAAGCCACAATCCGGAACTCAGCTTTAAAGCATTGCAAATCTCATCTCATCATAATTTTTTTACGCCTAACAAGAGAGCTTTCCTAGGCTGCTGCTTCTTTTTTTTTTTTTTTTATCCTCCGAGGACATTTTTGCATTTATCTTTAGATAGGGTGGGAGGGAGAGAGGGAGAAGAGAGAGAGAGAGAAACAGTGATGTGAGAGAGATACATCGACTGGTTGCCACCCACATGACCCCAACCGGGGCTGGGGACAAACTGCAACGGAGGTACATGCCCTTAGTGGGAACCAAACCTGGGCCTCTCTGGTCTGTGGGCCGACGCTCTAACTGCTGAGCCAAACTGGCCAGGGTCTAGGCTCCTTTCATTGGGGAGCAGACTGAGGCACATATTCAGGTCAAATAGTGAGTTAGCGGCAGACAATACATGGCCTCTATTATATCTATCTTCTTTTTTTCCCTGGTGAGGTCTGGGAAGCCTTGTCAGCCCCAAGAGAATGGTGTTTGTTGGGAGCTGGGGTGATCCAATAAGCTAGGGTAAGTGGAAGGTTAGGAGAGGACTTGAAAATCTCCCTCAAGACAAGAATGATCTTTTCTATATCTTTGTATCTCCCTTAGTTCTTTTTTTTTTTAAATCCTAACCCGAGGATACTTTTCCATTGATTTTTAGACTGAGTGGAAGGGAGGGAGGCGGAGAAAGAGAGAGAGAAACATCAGTGTGAGAGGGACACATCAATTGGTTGCCTCCTGCATGGGCCTGTAGGCTTGGCATTGACCCTGCAATCCAGGTACGTGCCCTTGACTGGGAATCAAACCCAACTGAACCCTCAGTCCTTTGGTCCATGGGCCCATGCTCTAACTGCTGAGCCAAACCGGCCAGGGCTCTCCCTTACTTCGTGGCATAGATTCAGTGAATGTTTTGAATGAGTGGCTGAGTATTGAACTCATTTGCTGTGCATTCTTAGCCATGAATAACACTAGAATGACCTATGAATGAATGAGGAGAGTATTTATGGGACTCAGGAATGCTGTGGGACTAAAATGAAATGATGTAATGTGGAAACACTTTGAAAATATAAAACCTTCTATTCAAATGCAAAGGATTTTTCATGTACATTTTGATTGCGTGCCTGAACACATCTTGCATGCGCCTTCTGACTTAACTTTTGTTCACGTTACTCTCTCCATCTCAAACACCTTTTCCTTCTTTTTTTAAAAAAATCCTCCCCTGCCCTGGCCGGTTTGGCTCAGCGGTTAGAGCATTGGCCTGTGGTCCGGAGAGACCCGGGTTCGGTTCCCGCTAAGGGCATGTACTTCGGTTGCAGTTTGTTCCCTGCCCTGGTTGGTCGTGCGGGTGGCAGCCACTCGATGTGTCCTTTTCACGTCGATGTTTCTCTCTCTCTCTCTCTTCCTCTCTCTCCTTCCCACTCTATCTCTACAAAAAATGGAAAAATGTCCTCGGGTGAGGATAAAAAAAAAAAAAGATAAAAATCCTCCCCTGAGGATATTTTTCTGTTTATCTTCAGATAGAGTGGGAGGGAGGGAGGGAGAGAGATAAATATTGACGTGAGAGGGGCACATCAACTAGTTGCCTCCTGCACAACCCTGACCAGGGCTGGGTGTCGAACTGCAACTGAGGTACATGCCCTTGACCAGAACCGAACCCGCGACTCATTGGTTCGATGCTCTAACCACTGAGCAAAATTGGCCAGGGCTTTCTCTTCATTTTTATTTTTATTATTAAAAATTTTTTTTTTTTTCCTATATTGATTTTAGAGAGAGAGGAAATAAGGAGAGAAAGAGATAGAAACATCAATGAGAGAGAACATTAATTGGCAACCTCCTGCATGTCCCCCATCGGGGATTGTGCCCACAACCTGGGCATATGTTCTGACTGGGAATCGAACCAGCAACCTCTTGGTACATGGGTTTGACGCTCAACTACTGAGCCACACAGGCCAGACCTCCCTTCCTTTTTTTTTTTTTTTTAAATTGATTGATTGATTTAAAATATTTTATTTATTGATTTTGTTGTTCCACTCATTTATGCATTCCTTGGTTGACTCTTGTATACGCCCTGACCAGGGACGGAACCTGCAACCTTGGTGTATCGGGACAGCACTCCAACCAACTGAACTACTGGCTAGGTCTTTTCTCTTGCTTTTTGAACCCTGTAGGAGGACATGATTTCCTTTGATCACTCCAAGAACTTTGGACATGCTTTACTCTGCTTTGTAGCGATATTGCTTGTTGACTTTTCTTATCTCCAAGCATATGACCTATTCCACTTTGATTCTTTAGATGCTTCTAGTGGCTGTGCCTCAGCCTCAGCCCTGGTACCTGGTTGTTGAATTAAAGGGTTAACAATTTGCAACCCCTGGATTGAGGATTTCCATTCTTAATGTTGCTTTCTGGTATTTGCAAGAAGTTGCTTCAGGGAGTTGTGGCAGCAGTTCTGAAGTTAAAGATGAGCTAGCCCCTTCTTCCTCTGGAGGCTGGAAGAATGTTCCTGGAGTCTGCTGGGATTGGGTACTGGGCACTGTGGGGCCCACGTGACGGGGCAGAGCATAAAGAGTTGGTGGAGTCAGCTGAGTTCCAGGTCCTCTGCTTCTTTCCAATTTTGAAGGAAAGAAAAGAAGGATGGGAGAGCATTGGGAATCATGGGAATGATGGGGGCTTCCATGAACCCCTGGGCTACTACGGGGAGCAGTGGAGGTTGCCACTGAAGCCTAGGTCAACAACAGCAAGCCTGGTTAGAGCTGGCAAAAAGTGACCACTTGTGAGGAACAGCGACAGAAGAGCCTATAGTTACACCTTAATCTGCACGCACAGACTGAAATTTTTCTTTTTTTTTTTTATTGGAGTCATCTCCCATACATTTAATTTTCTTGAGATGTGTACTTGGCAAACCTGAGTCTTGTGTTCATTCAGTCTCATTTTGAGGGTTCTCACGGGATGAGCATAGGGTGCCTGCTTTCTGTACGGCTTGGCATCGAAACAAGATACTGCGCCGTAGTTTAGACAATTTAAGGGAAATTCAAGGATAACTTTGATTATACGCAATTTTTGCTGGAAGTTACTTCCAGAGAAGAGTTAGAAGTAACTTTCATGTTAGATGGGACTGAACTCTGTAGCAGTTTTTCTTTTCTTTTTAAAACTTTCCAGCTACATTAAGGATCAATTAGATGTATGTGATCTAGGTTCCGAATTGAATAGGGACTTTATAACTACAATTTAAATGGGAAGATGGATTCCAACTTTTAAATACCCGAATTGAAAACAAACGTAGGAAGCATCTTCTTGTAAGTAAAAGACTTGGCAAAGAAATTCATTGTGGATGCCCACGTATAACTGTCCTATTCTAAGCTCTTTGGATTAATATGTTTTCATGTTCAAAAGACAAAGTGTGCTTTTCTCAGCACATAAATCTCTTATTCCCTTTCCTCTTAGTGATTCACCTTCAAGAACACTGGGGATTCGGAAAGTTGGGAGCTTCTGTGAACATGGCAAACCTGCTGAAGACAGTGGTGACTGGATGTTCGTGTCCTTTACTCAGCAATTTGGGGTCCTGTAAGCTTGCACCTGGGAAGAAGGAGATTTTGCGAACGTTGCACACTCACCAGGCGCTGTGGTGTAAATCCCCTGCAAAACCAGGTACGTGAAGCAAGCCTTCAAGCCGTAGGAGCCAGTAGCTCTGATGACCGGAAAGGCAGAGCCACGTCATGGACAGCCTGGACTTGCGGGTTTTATTTTGAATAAGAGGAACTGGTGAGCACTCTCTTGCAAGAAGTTCCAGATGGTCAGTACGCGTGGGGAAGAAAAGATAATAGGAAAAGAAAAGGGGTAAAGCAGTGGAGTGGAACCCTGGAAAGTGCCGTTCCTGGTCACTGCTTCTCCTAACAGCTTTCTCTTTCCTAGTCCTCCTGGAGTGTGGTGCCCCGTGGTACCCCGTGGTACCCGGGCGGCACCTGCGCGCAGGAATTAGGAGCTAAGTGTATTCCTCATCCGCAGCGGCACTTAGTGGATGGTGGCTTCAGCTCAGTTGCTTGGGTCAGAAACCTTGGCGTCTCCCTAGATCTTCGTAGTAGGTGCAGGTCAGCTTTGCCTCGTCCATTCTGGCCAAGCCACCATCAGCTATCACCTGGACCACAGCACTAGTCTCCTGAATGACCTCTATGCTTTCTGCCTCTGTCCCCTGCGGCCTGGTCTGTATATAACAGCGAGAATAGTCTTTTTAAAATGAAAGAACATATCACTCTTCTATCCAGAATTTGCCACTAGCTTTCTAGTTTATACAGAGTAGGAGCTGAAGCCTTTTAGTGGTCTACAAGGCACCCCCCTTTATTCTGGGGTACAGGCTAGAGGAGGAAAGGCTGAAAGGGGGTCCCTCTAAGTCCAGTCAGATAGATCCCTGTAAGCGTCTTTCCCACAGACCTTCCCAGCACTGTCTGCACCTCCATGGCCAGGACTCGGACCAAGGGCCATATGTACTGTGAGGGAGACCTGGACATTCAGTCTTTCATTCCAGATGGCAACGCTCTCAGCTAAAAATGACATCCTGTCTCTAAGGTGGAGGAACAGGGTGGCTGTCTGGGAGGCACATATAATAATGCCCTCTTAAATTTAAGTGTGTAGGGCTGCTCGTTGTGTATGAAGGACCCCTCAACTCCTAGGCTGTCTTGAACAGATTTCATTCCCTCTTTTCTTGTCTCACATGATGAGTCATTGTTGGCAGGTACCTGCTCCTCAACTGTAGCTTCAGATTTTCAGAACAGTTTTCTGGAAAGCCAGGTTATCCAGTGTGACACAACTGTGCACACAGGAACAGTAAATAACCGCACTGGGGATATGACAGCTGTCCTTGTGGGTAAACTCACAGACACCGAGAGCTCTACATTGATTATGTGTAAGACTTTGTCTTTTTGTTTAATTTCTGATTATTGAGTATTTCCTAGGTACTTTTTTATCTTTAAAAGATAAGGATTCTATTTTTTTCTTAATAGCACTTCATTATCACATTGAAAAGCATGAAAAGTAAATTCCAGTCACTGTTTATATTTTCTCATTTTTCCCCCCCTTAATTTCTTTTTCTTTTTCTTTTTTACAGTTTCTTTGTTCAAAGAATGAGTCAAACAGGGGCCATGTGTTGTATTTGCTTGCTATGTCTTTAGGTCTCTTTTGATCTATACTTTCCCTTCCTCTTTTTTCTTTTTAATTTATTTGCTGAAGAATTTAGCTGGTGCCATGTAGAATGTCTCACATTCTAGGTCTGCCTGACTGAATTCCTTTGGTGTTATCTAACCAGTTTCTCTGCACCTTGTATTTTCTGTAGCTTTCAGATAGATCTAGAGGCCTGATCAGAGTCAGGTTTGATTTTTTTGGGCAAGAACACTTCCCAGGTGATGCTGTGTATTATCTATTGCATTATATCAAGAAGGCGAATCCATGAGTTTAGATGTTGTCAGTGTGAGCCATCTATTATGAAGTTCCCACAAGTTTTTCACTTAAAGGCTATAGTAGCCATTTGATTGATGATTATTAACTAAATCCATGATTTCATCAGGGGTTTTAAATTGGTGATATTCTATCATTCTATATTTTTCTTTTTTTAAAAAGGTTGCTAGGCTCTGTACTAGAGCCTTTACATAAATTTCTTTTTAAAAAAATCTATTTTTCCCAGCCAGTGTGGCTCAGTGGTTGAGTGTCAACCCATGCACCAAGAGGTCGCCGGTTTGATTCCTGGTCAGGACACATGCCCAGGTTGTGGACCTGATCCCCAGTGGGGGCATGCAGGAGGCAGCCAATTGATGTTCTTGCTCATTGATGTTTTTGTCTCTCCCTCTCCCTTCTTCTCTCTCTAAAATCAATAAAGAAAAAACATTAAAAAATAATAAAATAAATCTATTTATTGACTTTAGAGAGACAGAAACATCGATTTGTTGTTGCACCCATTCATGCATACTTTAGTTGATTCTTGTATGTGCCCTGACCAGGGATCGAACCTGCAACCTTGGGTAAATGATGCGCTAACCCATTGAGCTATCCCGCCAGGGCCTATCATTCCCTCTTTCTTTTTAACCCTCACCCGAGGACATCTTTGCATTTATTTTGAGATAGAGCGGGAGGGAGAGAGAGAGAGAGAGATCGATGTGAGAGAAACACATTGAGTGGTTGCCACCCACACAACCCCAACCAGGGCCGGGGACAAACTGCAGCCGAGGTATGTGCTCTTAGTGGGAATTGAACCTGGGACTCTCTGACCCATGGGCTGATGCTCTAACCGGCCAGGGCTCTCTTATTTTATTAGTTAGATTTTTTTCTATAAACAAAAATGTTCCCTCTATTATTTAGTTACTCCGAGATTGCACTGAAAGGTGGGATAAGTATTTGATTCTTTCCTGTTCTTTACTTGGTAATAATCCATTGGTTCCCTTCTGTATCTATTCCAGCTGTAACAAATGATCACAGTCTTACTGGCTCCCTACAACACAGCTTTATCGTCTTACACTTCTGCGAGCCACAGTCTGAAATGGCGCTCACTAGGTTGGACTCCAGGTGTTGGCAGGGCTGTGTTCCCTCCGGAGGCGCTAGGGGAGAATCTGTGTTCTTGCCCCTTCCAGTTTCTGGAAACCGCCTGCATTTCTTGGCTTACGCCCACTTCTTCCAGCTTCAAAGCTCACAGTGCAGCTTCTTCAAATCACTCTATGACTCTGAGCCTTCTGCACCCCCTTTTCACATCGAAGGCCCACCCAGGTAATCCAGGATAATCTCCCATCTCAGGGTCTTCTGATTAGCAGCCTTCATTCCATCTGCAGCCTTAATTAATTCTCCTTTGCCATGTATTGTAACCGCCACAGGTTCTGAGGATTAGGGCATGGATGTCTTTGGGAGACTATAATTCTGTCTACCACACATTCCTTCCTCCAAAGTTGACCAATGAAGCTTTTACAAAATATTTATTTATTTATTATTTATCATCACAAACGCATGGATTTTAATATCCTTGGATATATTTTACTATGTTGCAATTACTTGCAATTAGTTATTCTTTTTGATGTTCAAATGGTATCATAGTTGGCCCTTTTAGGTTGTTTCCCAAATCCTTTTGATGTGATTTCAATTGTCTTTGATACATTCCTTGACTTGAGATAATCTGAGACTGTTAGGTAAATGAACTCTGGGTAAGTATATATGATTTAACTTTGTACATCAATCCAAAACATTTGCCAACTTTTTCTTCTTTTTCTCTCATTCAAGTAGAGTATAAGATTCAGCATATATTTGCCTCGAGTTGACCATCAATTATTACTGCTTATGTAGTGTGGGATCTAAGACTGTTCAAATGCAGATATTTTTAGGTTGACATGAGCTCTCTAAGGTCTCAATAACTTACTCTGTAGAGATAGTTTGATTTTTTTATTGTATATAATCAGAGTTTATGTTGCTAGACTTCCTAATCTTTAGTAAAACTTATACAGAAGGAAGTCCTTTTTACTAAAAAAAATCTGTTTGTGCCTTGTTATGAGTAAAACAACAGAAAAAAGAAATATACATTAGCCAAAGCTGATCTGGACCATGTATACATACTTTAGCACTGGGTTGCGACGGCGTTGGGTTGCAAGGAACAGGGTCATACTAGGTTATAGTTTGTGGTGAGAGCTGATTGTCAGGACTGGGAAGTATGGGAGCCCAGGCAACCCTTCCTCTACTTCCCAGGGAAGTGGAGTGGTATTCTGGACTTCTTAGCCATGACTCAGCTTCTCTCCTTACATCTCCACTGCCAACGTTTTTTGTACCACCACTTGCCTGACCTCCCTTTGATTACCCCACGGCTGTGCTCACCGATCGCTGCCGCACTGTTCCACTCTCTGTCCTGTCTGTGGGGCTCCCCTCAAACTTCCTGGGGAGAGTCTGATTGGGTTGCTCGTCACTGGCCAACAGAGCGTCCCCTCGCAAAGTTTCTGTATGGATCATCTCATCCGCGGCCTGTTTTCCTCCTGTCTGGCCTGTAGACCGTTACCTTTGACCCAGCTGCTGATCCCTGGTCGAATGAGTTGTGGCTGAGAATGTAAGGTCGCGAGATAAAACATCGGAAATCTGTGAGGCATTGTGTGGCCAGATGGTCCGGAAGGTGACTTTGGGTGTGTAGTATAGTGTTGTTCTTCAAGACAGCGAACTACTCCTCTGTCTTCCTTAAAAGTAAGGACGCAGAGACCATAAACCCGAGAGGGTTAATTTGAAGAGTGGAGTTAGCATGTTGAGTGGTCTCTCAACACCCTCCCCCACTTTTTTTGTAAGAATAAACTAAGCTAGTATTGTGTCTTGAGGAAGGCCATTTGGTTAAATAAAACATTTAGAACTTCCAGGAGAGTGGGCATAAAAGCTTCTTATAAAAAGAAAAAAAGATCAAAGAATTATGATTCTGACTCGGAAGCATCACTTTGAACGGTAACTTGTATGTACACTCGTTTTGAACAACTTGCCCCTATCCATTTCCTGAGCTCTGTTATTGAAACATTGTTCACCCCATTTTTTTTTTGCCTTGTTCGTAGGAATCCCATATAAGCAACTGACTGTTGGAATCCCCAAAGAAATTTTCCAGAATGAGAAGCGAGTGGCCTTGTCTCCTGCCGGCGTGCAGGCCTTGGTCAAGCAGGGCTTTAACGTTGTCGTGGAGTCGGGTGCTGGCGAAGCGTCCAAGTTCTCAGATGATCACTACAGAGCAGCGGGGGCCCAGATCCAAGGAACGAAGGAAGTGCTGGCCTCTGATTTGGTCGTCAAAGTAATTATCCCCTCCCCCCTCGTCCTGGCGTGCTGACTGTTCAGGATCTTTGCAGAGAGGTTAACGGACTCTGTTTGTTGGTAGAGTGTGCAGATTTTCAAATGATACCTTTTTCTCAAAGAAGTGATTACATGCTGTGAATACTCTTCCTGTTCAGGCTTTGTGATCTGTGTTTAGCCACGAGAAGAGAAAAGGTGATCTCTGTTTCACACTGGCTGTGTGGAAACCCCCTTTTCATGGGCTAGGGACATTTGCACACGATTCCCGTGTGCGCAGAATGTCTACAGGTGAGTATGTAGCTGCTGCTGACATAGGAGGAAGTGGAGCTGCCCCGGGACTGAATGTGCGGGGTCTCCCAGGGGCACAGCGATTTCACTACGCTGCTGCTATTTTTAGAAAGGGCTGAACTGTTCTGGAGAAAGCAGTCTTGGGCTGAGTGGCCAGGAGCCTGTTGGCTTTAATAAAAAGTCTTAATATATCATAGAAATCTACATGCTGAAGAACCCGAGCCATAAATCTCATGTAGGGAAAGGAAGAGAGACTGTCACGAGTCGAGATGACTACTGGAGTTGAACATTCACTTAAGTCCTAAGCCTTCAGCAACCGAGGCAGACAGGGGAGTATAGATTATATAAGCATGGTTATCAGGTTAAAATAAGCGCCTCACGTTTTCAAGATCAGCTTTCTTCTGTGTTAATTACTCAAGCATCAATCACATAGGTTTTTTTGCTTTGTTTTGTTTTTACATCAAGTCCACTGACTATCTTGATAGTGTCTTAAATAGCAGCTCTTACAGAAGATATAAAAGCGTTTTTTTTTTTTTTTTTTCACCTATAGAAAATGAATAGTAAAATGTGTGATATGGAGATAAATTGTAGTTTAGTTAAAGCTTTAAAAGTGTTTAGATGTACAGATACTTGGTGATATAACTTGGAATAGTAAAAGGGCTTAGGGAAAATAGAAAAATCAGTTTAACCCATTCCAATGTATATTTTAGGGATCAAAACTTTCTGAGATGTCCCACAAAAAAGGCTTAGTAGGAAATTTTGGAAATGCTCTGTGTTCCTTTTAGAGTTCTACAGTGCATGTGAGCATGTTAAAGGCACTGGAAAATCCTGTAATATAGAAACGTTATACGTGCATTAATAAACTCCTTGACCTTGGGGCCTCTCTTTTGAGTCAAGCTTGTTAGTATCCCGAGGAACTAGTGATCTAAAAAGCACATTCACGGAAATATTTTATTGGCTTAACTCACGGCGATGCCAACAGTCTCAGCTGAGCTCTCGATAGGGGCCAGTAGAATCTAATTTTTATTAAATCTATGTTATAGATTCTCACTGAGCAGAGATAGACCTTGTCAGAGAGTCTTAATTAAAGCCCAGAACCTAAAATCACATGCATCCCCAGATCAACAACCGAAATGGGAATAACGCACGCAGGGGTCTCCCAGGTCAATTGAGACGAAAGGCTTGACGTGAAAGTATTGACCCAGAGTCTGGGTTTGTATTTCCTTTTACACCTTAAGTCCCAGGGCTGTTGTTTGTATGTTTGCTTGCCTAAAAGCACTACTGTGAACTGGGAGCTGAAAATTCATTGAAGATTGATTTTAAACTTGGATAGAAAACACATTTTAAAATACTTTAAAAATGGAATTTAAAAAATCTGACTTTCAAACATGGACATTTGGACCTTTCAAGCATGTGGAGCGTGTGTTCATCGACTGACTTGATACTTCTTAATGTAACCGACTTTCTTGTAGCTTTTGGCTTAAACCCAGTTCAGCAGGCTACTACTTTGGTTGCATTCATCCATAGATACTCATCTGGAATTTAAGGAGACATAAATCTATACATGCAACCAGGAGATTTTAGTTTATAACCGTCTTAACTTCTCAACACCCCAAATGCTTGTTTCTGTCAAAATGAGCAAGAACCGAGTCTTTGAACACACAACTAAAACTTCCCGTTTATTCTGAAGCCTCTTCGTCATACCCGAGCGATAGGTTTCGGGGAGGACAACAGGGTCGTCGTAGAAGATGCGCGTTTTCCCACGGCTGCAGCGCATTGTCCAGCCTGTCCTGGCACGGTTGTGAGTGGTCTGTGCCCTTGACTTCCTGCGCCTGACCTCGAGGGGGGATTAGTCAGAAATGTTTTGCTGAAACATCACCTCTGGAGTGTCATTTCAGTGAGGGCATATTGGTTAAACTGTCTTCTCTACTTAAAACCACGATAAAGGTATTTCCATTTCTAACTGGTGACTCGACTCTTCCCTCAGGTGCGAGCCCCCATGGTTAACCCCACGTTAGATATTCACGAAGCTGACCTTTTGAAGACGTCGGGAACACTGATTAGTTTTATTTATCCAGCCCAAAATCCAGACTTGCTAAATAAACTTTCCAAAAGAAAAACTACAGTGTTGGCGATGGACCAGGTTCCAAGAGTCACCATTGCTCAGGGATACGATGCGCTCAGCTCCATGGCCAACATTGCCGGGTAGGTGCTTTCCTGTTCCACACGAATAAAAGGGCAGCTGTGCTACAGGCGCGTGCCCGCTGGGGCTCGTCTCTCCTGTGGGATTTGTTGTAATGCGTGTTGAGATTGCAGCCTTTTGAGTGTGTACTTAAGTGATTTTTGGGACTCATTTTATTGTTTCCCAGTCGTCAGATAGGAAATGATTCTTCATATTGTGCTGTGCTGTAGGCTCCTTTTTTTTTTAAAAAAATATGTTTTTATTGATTTTGAGAGAGAGAGGCAGGGAGAGGGAGATAGAAACACCCATGTGAGAGGGAAACATCAATATGCTGCCTCCTGCACGCCCCCTCCCTGCTGGGGGTTGAGCCAAAACCTGGGCATGTGCCCTGACCAGGAATTGAACCAGGGACCTCTTGGTGCAGGGGACAACTCTTAATCCACTGAGCCACACTGGCTGGGTTCTGTTTTAATCTTCGTGGGTAGAAGGCAAGTAGTGTTCTCTTCCAGCAGAAGAAATGACCATCAGGTTGTTTATATGAGGAATTTATTGTATTTCATATATGCGTGTATGCATGTCTATATTTGGTTGAAATTGCTGTTTGTTTTTTTTCTAGCTCTATTGAGATGTAATTGGCACATAGCACTGTGTAAGTTTAAGGTATACACATAATGATTTGATACATGTATATATTGTGAAATGATGACCGCAATAACCTTTGTTACCATAAATTGCTCTTTTCATAGGTCAGAAATGGTTGGATATTGGCAGTTTCAGATGTTTCAATCTAATGTGTACATATAGGCAGGTTCACCATTTGAATTAGGTTTTGCTTCAGTAAATTCATAAAATATTTGATGAGTAGGGAAAATGCACTTGAACACATTTCCTCTGGTGTCAAAACCTGGTGACTAACCTGCGACCTCTCAGGCCAGGAGGGCAGTCTATCCCTGAGGAGTGTGGGGTGCTCTGTGCAGAAGGATCCCAGGGCCCTGTCTGCCCAGAGGACTGTGACTGACTGTGGTCATGCCAGCCACGAGGGAGGGACAGGAATAGCTCCCTGAGGGCATCATGTTGCTTACTTGGCTGGAGAGGGAGAAAGATCTGGAAATCAGAAGATGCTAATGAAATCAGCTGATCTAAGAAACCAGTCGAGTTAGATTTTAAGCATGAAAATGGTTAGTAGTGACAATTTGCTAATAGGAATGAGGCACCAACAAATGAGAATGTTTAAAAAAAACAATGCATTAAAACAAAAATAATAACCTGAATAACTCCTGACGCATACGCTGAAAGTTTTCCTAGGTTTTGTATCTTAGGTGTAGCATATCAAACATGCCAGAGATTCCACTTTGATTTTCCACTGTTCACTTCGAATGTGAACGAGAGGCAATGAACAAAAATGACACGGTGAAAACACAGTTTGCTGTTCTTAATGTAATATGGCAAATAGTTGGTTTAAAGATATTTTTGTGTGATATAAATCATGTACCAAGGAACAAAATACCTGTTTGCTGTATTTATTTAGTTTGTAGAAGGGTTATGTTATGTAATGAGGGACTTAAGCTTTTGTATAGAAAATGCACAATGTGAACTTCTAAGGGTGCTGTTGATTTTGTCATGTGAAATGTACAGCTGAGAAAGGCCTTGATCAAAACCAGCAGCTCTGGACCAGTGGTTTTTAGCTACAGAATCTGTGGAGCTGAGGAGATATTATGAGGCAACGGGAAGAAATCCAGTAAGAGCGGAGTGGCCAGCACCAAGGGACTGAAGGGTGTGCAGGAACATGTCTATTCTCTGTCCCATGCACTGCGGCCCCAGAGTTGGCTAGAACCGAACCTTTGGGGGTTCAGCAAACACAACTTAAAGAATCACTATTTATGTCCTGAGCTGATACATGTGAAGGGTGTAGTTTGAGATGAATCATCCAGTATACTGACCACTCGCGTGATAAATCATTTTCTGCCTAAATCACACATGCGGTCCTACACACTGAAGACACACATGCTCCTTTTAGTTCATTGATGTTCATTCCGAGTGTTGTTGCTCTCATCAAACACAGGCCCACCTTACTTTCCCCACCATCAATGTTTTCCTGTGTCATCAGCTTTGTTTGTGTCATTGTTTTGCAGTATAGCAACTGAGTCTTATTTTATTTATTTATTTGAAATCTTTGCCCGAGGATCTTTTTCTGTTTATCTGCAGATAGCGTGGGAGAGAGGAATGGAGGGAGGGAGGGGGAGAGAGAGAGAGAGGGAGAGAGAGAGAAACATCTATGTGAGAGAGACACATTGACTGGTGACCTCCTGCATGATTCCAACCAGGGCCAGGGACCATGCTGCAACCAAGGTACGTGCCCTTGACTGGAATTGAACCTGTGACTCTTTGGTCCCAGGGCAATGCTCTAACCATTGAGCAAAACCAGCCAGGGTACAACTGAATCTTTTAAAACATTAATTTGAAATTTAATTTCATACAATGGCCTTTGAATCTCTGTCATGTTTGCTCTTTGACAATTTCTATCACTTAGATTCAGAAATGCACTGACAAATCATATAATTTCTAAAATATTATTTTTCTGCTTTTAATAATAATTTAACTTAAGACAATGCATGCTTTTGTACCAATTATGTCAAGTATTTTATAAAAACATAATCAAGGAAAGGTTTTATTGTCAGCAGGTGGAGCTTATCATTAAATAATTGTATTATAATATTAAAATAGAGTGTGTAAAACCAAGTGAGTGTGCAAAAGTCACTTTTAAGTATGAAATGATATGAAAATGAAATTAGTGTAATGTGTTAAAACTATCCTATTTTTTTTAAAAAAGGTATATTTTACTAGTATTTGTTACACTAAGTGCTTTTTTTTTTTTTTTTTTTAAATTTTTCTATATTGATTTTAAAGAGAGAGGAAGGGAGAGGGAGAGAGAGAGAAACATCGATGAGAGGGAACATCTATTGGCCACCTCCTGCATGCTCCCACTGGGGATTGGGTCCACAACCTGGACATGTGCCCTGACCAGAAATCAAACCTGTGACCTCTTGGTGCATGGGTCGATGCTCAACCACTGAGCCACACCGGCTGGCTACACAGAATGTTTCTTTAGCTAAAACACTGATGTTTAGCAAGCGCTCACTGTGACAGGCTGCAGGTAAGTGTTTTACCTGCATTATCTCATTTAGTCCTCATGACAACACTAACAGATGGTCTTCTTTGTCCTCACTTTCTACACGAGGAAACCAAGGATGAGAGAATTAAAGAAATTTGCCCGAGGTCACACAGCTAGTGAGAGTAGAACTAGACTTGAACTGAGGTCATGCTGTCTCAGAATCCCACACTTCCAACCATTCGAGATCAGGGGAAGTGGTTTTTTGGTTGTTGTTCTGAGGTTGGAATTGGAATTTTATTATGTACAAGCATCTAGCTAATCTAATTCTTTAATTTTAAATTTTCCCCTCTGTTATCTATAAATACTATATAGTCACCAAAGAAAATTTGGACAATATAACAAAGTAAAACAGAAAGTTTGAGATACCTGTAGTCCCAGCACCGAAAGAAAACCATTGTGAGCATTTTCTTGTCTTTCCTTCATTTCTTGTTTATCACAACCGACCTTCTGCGGTGCTTGTTATAAAGAGGCCAGGGAGCATCATGGCTTAGATCATGCCTCTGCAGACAGCGTGCCAGGGGTAGACTTCTGACTGCTGTTTGCTAGCTGAGCAGCCTTGGGCAAGTCTCTTCATCTCTCTGTCTCCGTCTCCTCCCCTGTAAAATGAAGATACAAGGGTAATAAGTACCTACCTATACGATTGTTGTGAAGATTAAAGGAATAAATATATCTCTAGCACTTAGAGCTGTTTTTTGACAGAGTAGGTACTCTATAAAATGTTACCTATTGTTCCTTGCTGATGAACGTGTAATTGGTGATTTATGATGATACATGAGCCCGACATCTTTAATTTTTATGGAAGTATTCATGCATTTGTTTCTTTTCTTTCTTAAGTTACAAGGCTGTTGTACTAGCAGCAAATCATTTTGGACGGTTTTTCACTGGTCAGATCACAGCTGCTGGAAAAGTCCCTCCAGCGAAGGTAGGTAACACTTTTAATGTTTCTTCGTAACGTGAGTGAATTAAAGGGAGGGTATGTGTCGTTTTCAAAGACAGCTGTTTTCCCACTTTTGTTATGTGTTAACATCACACGGATGACTTTGTGGTATGTCAGATATATGGTGGAGCTCAGGGCTGCTTACGGTTGCCTGAGAGAACAGAGTATGGACATTGCCGGACATTCTAGTCCTCTCTCTGTTTTTAACTTACTAACTTGAATTCTTAAAAGGATTTCGGATGACTTGTTCTGCATAGCCTGTTTATTACTATTTTTCAAGAAAGCTTCAAGATGCCATTTAGCAAATTCTTGATTTCCCAATTATTGCAACATTTTGGTTCACTGAAAAGGTTGTCCTGGTGAAATTTGGGTCACAAGGACAGGAAATGGGAGATGGTGTAACCAGGATATTTGGCAGGGGGCAAGGGTGCAGTTTCTTTAATTGAGATTTGGAGCAGAGGAGAGTGGACGAGAGGTGGGGATGGCTAGGTGACAGAGTGGATTACCTGTGACCCCTCCACACTGCGTATGCTGATGGCAGTATCAGCCCCCTGGCAAGGTATAGGAGACAGGGCTGGAACTGTTGTCATCCACCTGCAGTGGTTTGTAGGGTGCAGGTTTACTTGGTGCTTACTGTTTATAAGGACTTTGTCCTTATAAACCCAGAGTTCGCACACAAAATACATCACCTAGAAAAAAAAGACACTATGAAGGGGAAAGACACTACTAGCAGCTTCGAGAAATCTAGTTAATTGCTATAAAAACAGGCCAGGGGGAGAGAATGTCAAGTGTTTAGGTGGAGAGAAAGAGTACCTTCCTTCGCTGAGACTACATTGCTTTATTCTAGTCCATCCCCTCTTTTGAATTGCTGGGTCTTTTGTTATTTCTAACGGAGGATAACTTGGACTAGTCCTGTGCTTTCTATTCATTTCATTAGCAGTGTGGAGTGGGTGGAGCCATGGAGCCCAGAGCCTGTTTGTCCCTTCTGGTCCCCCTTTGTCCCCTTTCCTATAGACCTCCCCAGACAAACAAACCATCCCATTAAGAGCAATCCATAGGACTTTTGAGACTCTGCCTGGGGGTCACTGGAGCCTAGTCGACTAGTGTAGTGGGTAGGGATTTATAAACTTCACTGTTTCTGTGGGTGGCTTCCCCCCTTCGTTTCTTCTCTGTAGCAACAAGGAGCTGCCTTCAGTCGACAGGGAAGCATAATAGGACTTTTCTCTCATGCTAGAGACAACATGGTTCTTTTTTGTGTGTCTCAGAAAGTGGGCGAGACTCTTGTTCCTGAGGAATTCTTTGGTTTCCTTGGCTCTGATCCTCCCGTGATTAGGGAGATGAATTACGTTGCTTTGTATTTCAGGTGTCATTCATTCCAAAGGGCTCCGAACTAGGTGGTTGGTCACCTGCTGTTCCTTTCAGAAGCATTTGAGCAAAGTCAGGGGCGGAGGAGATGGTTCCCCGAAGCTGTACCCATGTTTGAAACTTATTTAGATACTTTATGAACATGGTAAAATCTTAAAATCGGAGAGGGGGGAGGTAGCTAGCATGCCACCCTGGGCATGTTAGTAGAGGAAGCATTTATAGTGTGAAGGCACCTGCTAACCTTTGACATACATACTGCTGGTCCTGCTGGTGGAGTTTTTACACTGAGATGCCGATTGTCAGCTATTTTTAGTGAAGGTCGCTGGCCTTTGCCAACAGTGTTCCTTTGGCAAATTTGAAATATTAGTGGTCTTTTGGGGAGGAGGAGCAGCGTGTGAGGGTACATGGTGGTGGAAGGAGACTTGACTTGGGCTGGTAGGCACACAGTCCAGCGTCCAGATGATGTGTTGTGGAATTGTGCACGGGTATAATTTCGTTAACCTGTGTCACCCCAATAATTTCAATAAAAAAATAAAATACAAAACAGCGGCCTTCAGTGAAAGAGTTGTCTATCCGCTCAGGACGTTCAGTGAGGGCTGGTCATCACCACCAGCGCCACCTGGTTCGTTATTGAGCGCTAACTGTGTACTGGGCACTGAGAGTTACGAGCGGGTGGCTTTTCATGATCAGTGGATAGTGAAATGTATTGAAAACACACCGGTTCTGCCTTCTTTCCTAGATTCTGATAGTTGGCGGTGGTGTTGCTGGGCTCGCCTCTGCGGGTGCCGCCAAGTCGATGGGCGCCATTGTCCGCGGGTTCGACACCAGGTGAGGGCTTCCAGGGATTGCTGTCAAGGTCAAAGCACCTTGTTTCCGGCGGACATATGCTTTCCTTAGAACTTATAAATTCAAGCAGCACATTGAAAACCGCTCTGTAAGTTCTTTAAATATTTCCGCTTTTTCAAAGTGAACCCAAAGTGAAAAAGTATTAGTGGGAAAAAAAATCGAAGGACCGGGACTCGGGACAGCAGAAGTAATTAAAAAACAAAACAAAACAAAAGAATAGAAAACTAACACCTGGTACTCAGTTAAAAAAATATATTGATTTTAGAGAGGGAGAGAGAGAGAGAGAGAGAGAGAGAGAATTAATTTGTTGTTCCACTTATTGATGCATGCATTGGTTGATTCTTGTATGTGCCCTGACCAGGGATGGAACCCACAACCTTGGTGTATCGGGATGACGCTCTAACCAACTGAGCTACCAGGCCAGGGTCACACTCTGTTTTGTTTCTCCATGTGGCTCGGCAGTGGGACCAGAGTCACCTCCGTCTCGAGTTTCTGACTTGTTGCTCTGCATGTTCTGTTTCTGTCCAGAATGATCTCGGCATCAGGGAGGGCGTGAGAAAGGGTATTGAGCGTGAGGACAGAGTGTGGGAGATACTCTGCAGAGGGGCTGGGGTGTGCGAGCGGTGTGCTCCGCGTCCATTGGTTAGAAGCAGATAAGTCGATCGGGCAGCAGCAGAGCCTGATGTGAAAGTATTTGATCATATTCACTGTCTGTTTCTTTAAAGCAGATCTATCAACATTTTCCTAGATTTTCATTAAAGAGAAGTTCGATTACAATTGTGCTACATTTCAGAAGACACTAGATATTCGTGAACTGGAGCTCATTGAATACTTATTGAATATTGTTACTATTCTGGTTCCAGTTCATTTTCGGGGTTGAAACATGTAGTTACTTATTATCAGCGGAGGTCAGTGAAGGAATAATACCACCGGTCACGCTGCATGTAGAGTGATCAGAACAACCGCTCACAGGTGGAAGGAAGGTGCCTCTTCCGAGTAAAGACTGTTCCACAGCAGGTGGTTCACATGCGGTTTAGAGACGACAGGTGCTGATGAATGTGCTGCTGAAATGACAAAAGGCGTTTCCGAAGTGCCCAGGATGCAAGCCAAGGACAGCCAGAGTTGTGCATGCCATTGGTCTTGTCCTTTAAAAAAAAACACTTTTATTTATTTAGTTTTTAGAGAAGGGAGAGGGAGAGCTAGAAACATCAATCAGCTGCCTCCTGCGCGTCCCCTACTGGGGATGGAGCCCACAACCCGGGCATGTGCCCTGACCAGGAATCAAACCAGGACCACTCAGTCCATGGGACGGTGTTCAATCCACTGAGCCACACCGGCCAGACCTGTCCTTTAATTTTTAATGTTTACTGAAGTGAAATTTTTGAAGAGTTCCAAGCCTGGAGAGAACAGGTGGTTCAAGTCTTCACTGTAGTGAACAATACTATTAAAGTGGAAATGTACACATTTTATGTGACCGAGAGATGGTTTGGAACCTGGTGTTGGGTTACCTACTGAGAGTTTGTTGGCTGATGTCATTGGTTCAACCGTGTAGAGAGTAGACAGCTAGCAGACAGCTGTTGCTCACCTCCATTTTTACTCACCTTTGTTGAGATCACTCAAGGACACAGCAGAGAAAGAAGTGGCTGAACTGATACAATACTTTTCTAAGTTATAGCTCATTAATAACTACTTCGAGACTGGGGGTTGGTATCATATTATAAATATGTAATCCAAATGTATTAGAAAATACACTTGATTGTAAATTCTTTTTGGAAGACTGAATGGTATATATTTTCAATGAAACAGCCAAAAACATAAGGACAACTCATAGCCCAGTGACATTAACAGGGTGTGAGTTTTGAGTTATTTCAGATAATTAGGAGATTCCCCTTAAACAATAGTAAGTATTTTGCCTAGTGCCTGAACAAAGTTTATAAATATAACGCTTTACTTTCTTTTTTATCATTGTGTGTGTGTGTGTGTGTTTGAGTAAATCTTTATTTACAACAATAATTGGCAGGTCAAGAATTGTAGTTTTCAGATACCTGCCTGACACGCTTACCCTCTTCCAGGCATTGTGCTATATGCATTTATGGTTCTTTACAGTAATACTATGAAGTAGGGCTAACTAGCCCTATTTTACATAATATAAAAGGAAATATATGTTAATCTCATAACTTACGCAGTTTATTTTCTTTCTTTTTTTTTTTTTTTTTTTTTTTTTTTTTTTTTTTTAATCCTCATCCGAGGACATTTTTCCATTTTTTGTACAGACAGAGTGGGAGGGAGAGAGAGGAAGAGAGAGAGAGAGAGAAACATCGATGTGAAAGGGACACATCGAGTGGCTGCCACCCGCACGACCAACCAGGGCCGGGGACAAACTGCAACCGAGGTACGTGCCCTTAGCAGGAACCGAACCCGGGCCTCTCCGGACCGCAGGCGGACACTCTAACCGCTGAGCCAAACCAGCCAGGGCTATTTTCTTTCTGATTGTAAAGAATAATACATGCTTATACCCCCAATCCAAAAAAATATGAAAAACTACTAGAAGTGAAAATAAGCCCTGGCCCAGTAGCTGAATTTGTTAGAGTGACATCCCAATAGGCCAAGGTTGTGGGTTTCATCCTCGGTCAGGGCACAGACAAGAAGTGACCAATGAATGCGTAAATAAGTGGAATGACAAATTGATGTTTCTCTCTACCTTTCTTTCTCTCTCTTCTCCTCTCTCCCTTCTTCTCTCTCTCTCTCTCAAATCAATTTCAAAACAAAACAAAACAAAACTCTAAAATCCTCCTACCTAGAGATGACTATTAACATTCTAGTATATGTCCCCTTTTCTACACATTAATTAAAAATGTAATTTTACTAATAGTACTATTTAACTCTTTTTACTTTAGACATTATGATGTTTATAAATATTTTTAATGGCTACATAGGATTCTATTGTATGTATACATATATGTGTGTGTATTATATATGAATATATGTATTTGGGGGTGTCTCATCATTTCCTTAGGATAAATACCTAGAAATGGAATTTTGGGTCAAAAGATTCACATCTTAAATATTGATATAATATTTTTAAATTATGGGATTGTTTTGAGGTCAAAGATTCTAAAATAGCATTATGTAGCTAATTAGACACATTTATTTTTTGAAAAATACCTTTTATAATTCTATCAGCCAGGTATAATTGCTAATGCTTTTTTTTTTTCAGATTTTAATGTAGATGCCTTTTGAACAAAATCAGGATCATTTTATATATATTTATAAACACGCACAGACACATACATATTATTTTGAATTAATCTGATTTCATGAAAAAGAGTAGTCATTTTAAAAACTTTTTTTTTATTATTATTGATTTTTTTAGAGAGAGGAAGGGAGAGGTAGAAACATCAAAGTGAGAGAGAAACATTGATCAGCTGCCTCCCGCACACCCTGTACTGGGGATCGTGCCCTGACCCGGAATCGAACTGGGACCTCTCAGCCCTTGGGAGGATGCTCAATCCACTGAGCCACATCAGCTGGGCTTAAAAACTTTTTACAGAGCTGGATCCCTTTGACTGTAAGGAATACAAAACACCAACACAAATTGGCCTCAACTCTAATAAAATGTATTATTTCTGCTACGTGAAAATTCACGGGAAGGACTTCCTTTCCCACTGGAGTCAGCAGCTCACTGGCACGAGCAAGGACCGAGGCCTTTCTGGCGCTCCTCTCTGCTGTCCTTGGCATTGGCTGATCGCCCTTGTGCCAGTGGGAGGGAGAGAGCCTCTTGCTCAACCATGTCCTGCCCGGTCTCCCCTGTTTATAAAGTCCTGCCCTTTGGATCCGCTCCCTCACGGTGACAGTTGCCAGGGACTGATGGGTTCAGACCACATTCCCCAAAGTTCCCCACTGGCATGGATCACCTGTAGCTCTTGCTGAAAATGTAGCTTCTGGCCTCTCTGCTGGAGATTGTAATTTAAACTTAAAAAATTTTAGGTATTGATTTTGAGAGAGAGGGAGAGTGAGAGAGAGAGAGAGAAAAAAAGATTCGTTCTATTTATGTATGCATTTTTTGGTTGCTTCTTGTGTGTGCCCTGACTGGGGATCAAACCCACAACCTTGGTGTATTGGGGTGATGCTCTAACCAACTGAGCTACCTGGCCAGGGCTGGAGATAGTAATTGAATGGGTCTGGGAAGGGGCCTGGGGATTTGAATTGTTACCAGGTAGCTGGAGTCACCAGGGAAGTTGGAGATTCACTGTTAAATTAAACCCTGTCCACTGCACAGCTGAGATCTTTGTTGGCTTTGGTTTTCCAACCAGTACACATTAATTAAAAATGTAATTTTTAAAGATGCTTGGCCAGCATCTTTTGTTCTTAAACTGAATATATTTTTACATAATTTGAATGAGTTGGCTCTTTACATTTCCCATTTATACCGTTTACAAGTTGCTTTTTTCCGAACACAATTTAATGAGGATTAGGGGAAAACATCACTTGGGTAAAATATGCCTAAGTAAAATAGTCATTCATGTGGGGAAAGTCCCCTAAGTCAGGGCATTTACCAATGAAAACCTGCCCTTGAGTGATCTGAATGGAGGCACATTTTCATGTAGGTCAGATCGACAGTGGAACCACAAGAAACACAATAGGTTACTGGAGTTGCTAAGAGTGGAATTTCTTTTGTAATTTGACTACAAAGAGGTTGGAGTTCCCTGTAGTATTTTTTTTCCCCCTGAAAAAAATTGATCATAAACGCATTAGCTCCCTTTAGAAAAACATTGAAACAGTCCAATCAGAGACATCCGAAGAAAGTCTCCACTCTTGAATGTATTTTTTTTCTTTTTAAAAATGTCTGTGTGAATGATCTTGATTTTGTTAAGAACCTGAAATAACCGGTGCTTTCCCGCCAACGATCACCAGAGCCGCGGCCTTGGAGCAGTTCAAGTCTCTCGGCGCCGAGCCCTTAGAGGTGGACTTGAAGGAGTCTGGCGAGGGACAAGGCGGATACGCAAAGGAGATGTCCAAGGAGTTCATTGAAGCGGAGATGAAGCTGTTCGCTCAGCAGTGCAAGGAGGTGGACATTCTCATCAGCACCGCCCTCATTCCAGGTATGTCCAGTCATGGGGCCGCCCTGGCTGACTGGTGACGCTTCCAATGAGGCTCCGTCTTTGTTCCAGGTCGCAGTTCTTCAAGTAAAGATCCATTTCCTTTCTGGAGAATGAAAAAGCAGAAAAGACAATCACTGCAGCCCTGGAGACAATTGGTCATTAGTAATTTGGTCTGTTTGTTTCCAGTCTTTTTTCTGTATATTAAAAAATATATATATTTTTATTGATTTTTTTGAGGGAGAGGAAGGGAGAGGGAGAGAGAAAGAAACATCCATCAGCTGCCTCCTGCACGCCCCCTACTGGGGATCGAGCCCGCAACCTGGGCATGTGCCCTGGCTGGGAATAGAACCAGCGAATTTTCGGTGCACAGGGTGACGCCCAACCACCTGAGCCGCACCAGCCACGGCTTGTTTTTTTTTTTTTTTTAATTCTCACCAAGAATATGTTTATTGATTTTAGAGAGAGAGGAAGGGGGAGAGAGAGAGAGAGAGAGAGAAGAGAGACATCAATGTGGGAGAGAAACATCAATTGATTGCCTCCTGTATGTACCCCAACCTGGGATTGAACCCACAACCTAGGAATGTGCCTGACTGAAAATTGAACCTGCAGCCTTTAGGTGTACGGGCTGATGCCTCTGAGCCTCCGGGCCAGGGCATGGTGCTACCTTTTTACTGTAGGAAATTCAAACAGCACTGACAAATATGGAGAGAAAAGTACAGATCTGGAGTGTTACCGGAGATGACTGTCATTAATATTTTGCTAAACAGTTTTTCACATGTGAGAAAGAGAGGAGAGCTTTGTGTGTATTTATGGAATTCTCAGTATTTATCTATCGATCAATCGATCGATATGGAATTCTCAGTATCTATCTATCAATCGATCGATTATGGAATTCTCAGTATCTATCAATCGATCGATCGATATGGAATTCTCAGTATCTATCTATCAATTGATCGGTCGATTGATAGATAAATAGATACAGATATGGCACTTTGTCACTTTCTAATTATGTCCTTTGACATGTTTGATCTTTGTAATGAAATTGTGAGCTCTTTTGATGTCAGGAATTATTTGTTATCCTCTTATAACAAATATTTTTCACTTAATAGATGATTAATGTCAAACCAATAAGCAGTTATTAGTTAATAAACACTAGCTTGATCTAGCAAGATGTGGGAGTGAAGAAACTCTCTCCCTTTCACATTCTTACCTCTTCTCTTCCCCTGTTCTTTTCTTGTGCTATTGAATAATGAATATCATGCCGACTAATTTTTTTTTTCCTTTTTGAAAGAAAGTGGGCCGAATGGGAGCTTGCAGAATTCATGGTTCCTTTTGTCAGATCCTAGTAAAGGAGCCTCACTTGCTCGAGGGGACTGTGGACAATTAGAAGTTGTTTGGTCCTGAGGCCCGAGAGAGGAGAGTTCTCTTCTGTCCCCTTCCCCTCTAATCTGGCTACGATAAACCCACGGGCAGGAGGTTGATCACATCTACGAGCTTGTGGGGGGAAACGTGCGCCCAAGCTCTTCTTTCTGTCCTCTGTGTCCAGGTGATACCCGATAGGTGGGTTGGTCTCTCCAGCACCCTGTCCCACCAGGGATGGTGGGATGAGCAGACTGGCAGGAGGGCCACATGGGCTCAACCCCCCGAAGGAGCTGCGAGTGTAGAAATGAGGCTGGAGGTGGGTGCAGAGCCGGCCAGCGTGGCCCAGGCTGGTGGTTGTGAAATCTGCCAGCGATGGCAGGCTCACGAACAGGCGGTGCAGGGAGCACTCAGGATTCGTGCTTCCGTGGCAGTGGCTCCTGGCTCAGCTGTTGTACAGGTGGCTTTGGAGGTGGGATGGGTGGCCTTGCTGTGCCATCTGACCTTTGAAAGGCAGCTGCTGCATGCATGTTGGTGAGAGGTTACGAGCTGACTAAGTGTGACTAGTGCCCAGTAGAGGGCGCTCTTACCTTTGCTCACGGAGTAAAGGAGGCGGTGAAGCTACATTCAGTCAAGGCAGACCTTACTGAAGAACTGAGGGTAGTTTGGACCCAGTGTATAGGATTATTATCTTCTTATATAAAACACATACTGACTTTTAGGGCCCCCAAATATCTTTACTTTTTTATAAGTAGAAGTTCAAATTGTATGACAAGTCTTTTTTTTTTTTTTCCCAATCTGCACTGAAGGATATATTTATATTGATTTTTTAGCGAGAGGGAATGGAACCCGCAACCTAGGTACTAGGTATGCGCCCTGAGCAGGAGTCAAACCCACAAACTTTTGGCATAGGGAACGACGCTCCAACCAACTGAGCCACCTGCCGGGACTTTTTATTTTTTAATTTATTGGGGGTGTGGGAGGGAGGGAGGGAGGGGGAGAGAGAGAGAGAGAGAGAATAGATTTGTTCCACTTATTTATGCATTCATTGGTTGATTTTTTTTTTTTATCCTCATTTGAGGATATTTTTCCATTTATTGTTCAGACAGAGTGGGAGGAAGAGAGAGGAAGAGAGAGAGAGAAACATCGACGTGAAGGGACACATTGAGTGTCTGCCACCCGCACGACCAACCAGGGCCGGGGACAAACTGCAACCGAGGTACGTGCCCTTAGCGGGAACTGAACCCTGGTCTCTCGAGACCGCAGGCCGACGCTCTAACCGCTGAGCCAAACCAGCCAGGGCCATTGGTTGATTCTTATATGTACCCTGACCCCACAGCTTGGTGTACTGGGACAGTGCTCTAAGCAGCCGAGCTACCTGGCCAGGGCCTGTGCACCAGGGTTTTAAGGAGCCTCGTTGAAGAAGTTTTATCCCTCTGTTCCTTTTCTGAAGCTCCGGTCTGCCTCGGCCCATTAACCTGACGGAGACCAGCTCACTGGTCCGGAGCTCACACTCAGAAGCTGGCCTGGAAGGACCTTTCTGCTGCCTTTTTGCTTTTGAAAACCCAAAAAAGAAAAGTTAATTAGAATATTATAAGGAACAAGATGGTCTTTTTAAAGATCTTCTATATCCCTGGGGGACTGAAACATAAAAGCATGAGCATTAAAAAAAGAAAAAGAAAAAAGATTGAAAAGATTATAAAAGGGGACACATGCCCTTTGAAAAGCAGTGTCCCTGGCCTTGTACCTTTACAAGTTTTGTCCTGAGCCTTTGCCTAGGTCGCCTGATGGCATGTCTACCTCCGGAAAGACTCTCAGAGCAGGAGTTATTCTAAGATTTTTCTTGTGTTGGATCCAAAGGGGATTAAGTTAAATGTCAGAAGTTCTCCGAGTTGAGATTCCTTAGACCAAGGTCCTCGTGGCTGTCCTGGAGGCCTGGTGTGGATGAGAATGTGGACAGGGACAGTCGGCTAGTTTCAGGTTGCAATCGAAAGCCTGGGCGCACTCAGCCAGGGCACTTGGAAAACAAAGCTCTTGTACTTCTGGGGGCTGTATGTGGAATGAACTGTTTCTGCAGCCAGCCCGTTCTCACACTGCCGGGGTTTTCCCACATACTTGTTCCATCACCTAGACCCCCAGGGTTTGCGTTGGTGATGGGTTAAAGGCTAGAATTTCCATTGATGTAGGTATCATTAGGATCGGGCCTAGCTCACTGTCCCATTCTGTGGTGCTGTGCACACAAGGAGAGCTCATGACCTTCCTGTCCGGCTCTGTGACCTTTAAGACTACTTGGAAAGTAAGGCAGCCCCCTCCCTGGGCATGTTCAGGCTATGCTCATCATCTTTCTGCTGCACCTTTTGATGCACGAAAGGTTGCTGTTTGTTTGTGTGTTTCTAGCAGCTCTGGTGTCCCGGAACCCTTTTAGAATATTTGATTGGGAAGAGGCCGAATCAGGTTGAAAATCTGATCAGCAAGTGAAGGAGGGAGAGTTGGGGAGGGGCGAGGAGGAATCATTGTGCTTGAGCCCTGAGTGTGCAGGCAGATTGCACCTGCACGCCAGTGAGAACCGAGAGCTGTGGTCTCCCCTGCCGGAAGCAACCTTTCCCACTCTAACCCTTCCCTGATGACCACCTTTTTACAAAATCACGAGCCTCAAGAGGTCGTCTCGCCTCCCCGCTGTCCCTTCCCCACCTCAGTTCTGGCCCTCACTTTGTAATTGGACTGTAGCCTGTTGGAAAACTTGGGTTTTTGTTTAATAATGATGACTGTGTCTTGCAACACCAGGTTGCCAGCCTTGTTAGATAGAGGCAGCTAAAATGACCAGGACTGGGTCACACTACCCCCAGGTCCCCAACCTACGCGACCGAGTCTGTCCTCCATGGGGTGTTCATTGCCTTTCAGTTTCTAGTCCTGATTTAGCATTTGGGCCTATGTTGAACTGATTTATTGCTCTCTGGGTCTGATTGCAGTCATGCTGGCTGCGGTGACCTCCCCGAGCAGGCCAGGGACTTTCAGGCCTTTACACATTGTTCTCTCCTTTGGAACGTATCCCTGCTCTGCCCTGCCCTCCGAAAGCCTGCTCCAGTCAGCGGACCCTGTGTAGCTGCTGCCACCTCCTTCTCAGTAGTGAGCTCTCCTTTTCCTTCAGTCTTCGCCCTTTGACTGTGCCTCAGATCCCAGGAGTCCTCAGTGTCATTGCCCCTCGGTGGCACTGCGTCCCTGTGAGCACAGCAGGGGTGGGTGCTTAGCGTGGAGCCTCCCACCCAGCAGTGGCTCAGAGAAGGTTGCCGCGCCAATCACCCTGGGTGCCTTCCTGAGGTCCTGGTTGGCACCGTCCTTTTCCTTTTGCCAGGGCTACCCAAGGAAAGATGGAGGTACTCTGTGGGCTCCCTTTTGGGTGGGGACACTGTACGTTAAGACTGGGCAGTTTGCATTTTCATTTTCCTCGGATAACTCCCCAGAAGTGGATTTGCTGAGCTGGGTGGTAGTTCTGTGCTTAGGGTTTTGAGGCATCTTCACGATCCTCTCCACAGTGCCCGCACCCATTTGCCGTCCTACCAGCAGGGCACAAGGGCTTTCTTTTCTCCACATCCTCGCCAGCACTTGTCATTTGTTGATTTATTGATAACAGCCGTTCTGCA